TGCTGTACCTCGTTTCGCTTCCTTGCTGCTTGCCCCTGAGGGAGACCCGGATGCTCCAGACATCCCGACCCCGCGCTCTTACGTAGAGGCGATTACGGGTCCTTACTCCTCTCAGTGGCAGGCAGCTATGGATGCCGAGATGGCATCCTGGAAGTCCACAGGCACTTATGTCGACGAGGTTCCCCCACCTGGGGTGAACATAGTCGATGGCATGTGGATCTTCAGGGTGAAGCGGCCGCCGGGTTCTCCGCCTGCCTTCAAGGTGCGTTACGTTGCTCGAGGTTTCAGTCAGCGACAAGGAGCTGACTACTTCCAGACCTTCTCCCCCACCCCGAAGATGACTACTCTTCGGGTGTTGCTGCACGTAGCTGCTCAGCGTGACTACGAGTTACACTCCCTGGACTTCAGTACTGCCTTCCTGCAAGGCAGCCTGCATGAGGAGATCTGGCTGCGCCGACCACCTGGTTTCACTGGGTCGTTTCCTACAGGTACCCAGTGGAGCCTCCGCCGCCCAGTCTACGGTCTCCGCCAGGCGCCTCGCGAGTGGCACGACACACTGAGGACTACACTTGCGGCTCTTGGATTTGTTCCTTCTACAGCAGACCCGTCGCTGTTTCTACGCACCGACACCTCGCTGCCGCCCTTCTACGTCCTAGTGTACGTCGACGACCTCGTCTTTGCCACGGCTGACACTGAGGCACTGACCCTAGTGAAGTCCGAGCTGCAGAAGAGACTTACTTGCACTGACCTGGGTGAACTGCGCAGCTACCTTGGCCTGCAGATCACCCGGGACAGAGCACGGCGCACCATCACACTGACTCAGTCACACATGGTGCACCAGGTCCTTCAGCGCTTCGGCTTCCAGTACTCCTCGCCACAGCTCACTCCTCTGTCTACCAGCCACTCGCTCTCAGCTCCACCTTCGGACGAGTCCGTAGAGCTGAGTGGTCCGTACCCAGAGCTTGTGGGTTGCCTCATGTACCTGATGACTTGCACACGACCTGACCTCGCGTACCCTCTCAGCCTTCTGGCTCGCTACGTGGCTCCCGGTAGGCACCGAAAGGTGCACTGGGATGCTGCAAAGAGGGTACTGCGTTACCTGTGCAGTACGTCGGGCATGGGGCTTGTGCTTGGAGGACGGGGTCCTGTTGTCCTCACTGGTCACGCAGACGCTTCCTGGGTTGACGACTCAGCTACGCAGCGGTCGTCGCAGGGTTACACCTTCAGCCTTGGGTCCGGCTCGGTTTCTTGGCGGTCTACCCGCTCGTCTTCAGTTCTCAGCTCCAGCTGTGAGGCTGAGATCTAAGCCGGAGCCATGGCTGCTCAGGAGCTACGCTGGCTCACCTACTTGCTGACCGACTTGGGAGAGCAGCCTCGTTTGCCTCCAGTCCTGTACGTAGACAACAAGGCCATGATAGCCTTGTGTCAGGAGCACAGACTGGAGCACAGAACGAAGCACATCGCTCTGCGATACTTCCTTGCTCGAGAGTTGCAGCAGCGTGGTCAGCTTCGTCTAGCGTACGTGGCCACTCGGGCCAACACTGCTGATGTCTTCACCAAGGCACTTCCGCCTGGTGACCATCAGCGCTTTGTTACTGTGTTAGGCCTTGTGCCTACTTTGCCTCACTTACTTACTGCCTGACTCTGCCTGTACTGTGATCTATCTAGATACCTGCATGCTTGCACTTGCTAGGGTATGATCACTGTATTGTTTGTTCTCTTTATATAACTCTGCATGTGAACTGGCCTTGTGGCCCTTTGCTTGTGCTCGGACTGTGTGGTGACTTTGTGATCCACCCTGAGCTTGCTTTGCTTTGCTTCTTCTCTTGACTGGTCTTGTGACCATTGCTTGTTCTGGCTATCCCCCACTTCGCCTATGGGGGTGTGTCAAACATATATGCTTAGTTATATCTAGGCTTAGTTTATGTGTTTATAGTTGTCTAGGCTATAGTGGGTTTAGCCTTAGGGGGTACAGATTTCTCTCGACATCCTACTTGTACCCCTTCCCTTTTCCTAGTCATCATCCTCACTTATTCTAACACACCACCCCCCTCTCCGCTACTGACCATCGCCTCTATCAGCAGCAGCTCGGGTGTCTACTCTTTGCCGCCGTCACATGTCGCCCGGACCTATCCTACATCGCCAGCCAGCTCGCCCAGTACCTGCGCCGACCTGAAGGGGAGAATATGGCGGACCTACGACGCGCCTTACAGTACTTCATCTCTACGCCTGACATCGACCTCACCTACCAAGCAAACTTAACGGCTACTCTACAGCTCACCGGCTACGTTGACGCTGATCACGCTGTGGACGCGGATAACAGAAGGTCCCGCACAAGCTTCATGTTCAAACTTGAGTCTGCAGGAACCATCTCCTGGAACTCACAGAAGCAAGAACTCATCGCCATTTCGTCAACAAAAGCAGAATTCATCGCAACAATTGCAGCAGTTCGCAAAGGAATCTACCTCACGGAGCTCCTACAGGAAACGAAGACGGGGATGAACGGGCCATTCAATTTACTCTGCGACAACCAGAGCGCGATCAAGATCGCGAACAAACCCGGCTTCGTCAACCGCACGAAACACATCGCCCTGCGTTACTTCTTCGTCAAGGACGAAATTGACAAAGAGAAGGTCCAGCTCACCTATTGCCCAACTGGCGAAATGGCAGCAGCTTTTCTGACAAAGAAACTGCCACGTCAGAAGTTCCAGTATTGCTCGGACCTGTGCGGAGTCGTCCGAAAGAGCCATGTGACGCACCTCCAGGAATGAAGGGGAGTGTTGGAGTATGGAGGGAATTGAGTTTGGCATTCCCGTAGGTGCAGCTGTATCGCACTCGTCACTATCGAAGCAGCACCTACAGCAATATCGGATCAGCCTGTAACAAGGGCAGGATGGTCAACAGTCGCAATGGTCAACTGTCGCGACTGTTGACCATATGGACCGATTGACTCACCAGCGAGGAACGGCAACAGGCGTAACCATCTGTACGTTTACACGCAGCAATTTGGTAACGAGAAGAAAAGTAATAGTCAGAGTCACTGTACAACTGCCTGTAAATCAGTTAGAATAAGGGAATGTACCCCTTAGAGTATATGGCTAGCTAGATCTATTTATTGCATGTGTTTTATCATTTAATCAATCTTGTCATTTACATCCACTATGCACAAGGTTCCTACCAAAAGTCTTCCGCTACCAAAACTCTCTAAAGCAATCCTATCCTATCCAAGATAATTACTTTAGCAACTACAAGGAACGGCGAGTTAGTGAAAAGCTTCAGCACCTTCTATGATGTTCTCATCACACCTACTGAGAGCGTCACGAAAACTGGAGATAATAGGACTTGCTCTGTTCAACCATGAAAGAAAGCAAAATAAGAAGACGTTGGTATGACCAGGAGAAATTATGGTGCTTCTGCTGATGCTACGTGGATTACTGCTGTGTTTTTTAGAGCAGCAATGAATCTGTGGTGATGGAGATGGAAATGCTGTTGAATCACACTCAAGCTTTCGAGTTGAGGGCGCGTGACTTGTAGTTTGGGTTTGTTCGGTGAAGTCGAACTTCAAGTGGTAACATTTTCGTGAACGTCGCGATAGTCACGGCGAATGACGAATGTACATGCAGCACGACACCCTCTTGACAGGCAACGCCGGTAGTTCGACTGCCGACAGTCGAACTTGCCGGGCAATTTTCGCGTGTGTTTACGCCAGCGGTGGCGGATTCGGGTCCTGGCTCGAACCACTCGATAGAATCCAGCTCGAACCAAGTTCGAATGAACAGTTCGAGCCATGGATCGAATTTTGGCAAATACACTTAAAAGTCACGCGCCCTGAGCGATGGAACGCAAGGTACCAACAGGGTCATCAGAGCTGGAAGCAGTTTCACCATCGGACGGCAAGCAGAAGCCCTTAAAGCCGGCGGCCCAAATTGTTCATGCTTTTAAAAGTTGACCAGAGGGAGTTTTTCTGGTGTAGGCTTTGGCGAGAGTTCGCAATTTCGTCTAGGTTCGTTTTTTTCGCGAGACCCAGCCAACCCTCGGTTTTCCCCCTGGTGAGTGAATCTGTCTTCGAAAGTCCCAAATTGCAGGTGCGTGACTTTCAAAAGCTTGGACACTCAACTTCGTCAAGTTTTAAAAACTTGACCCTCGCGGTCCGCAATTTGGGACGCGGGCTTTAAGTTCGTATGCATTGGATCGGACAGTGGGAAATGACATTTGCAAGGCTTTGTCTTCCAGCTCCGTGCATTCCACGGTACTCTGACCTTACTGTAACCATTAGGACCGAACACAACACATTATATCCAAGAACAAACCGAAATGATAGTACCAAATTGGACTTCCCCTCGATTCAATCGCTGACCCATGCACATCCACTCCAATTTCGGGATGCGTTACGGGTTTCCCGCGTCTATTCGACCTTTGTTCGCTTCAGTTTGACGCTCAAATCTCGAAGGATGCACCGTTCCTAAAAGTCAAATCAAGGTTCCAGAAATCTGTACAGTACAGAGAGGCTTGTAGCGGAAACCGCATTCACCCTGGGCAACCATGAACCTCGGTCGGGATCCAACCCATCCCGGCGTGGCTATTCTTACCACGTAAGCATCATCCAGGAAAGCCAGGGCCGCCACGTAGTCTAACCCATGGTAGTGATACCCAAAATGGTGACTCAGCTCCAAGATATTGTCAGAAATTCTCAAGACAATTGGGCGAAGTCCTTCCACCCATCAATTTTGCCGTTCGCACGAGCTTCAGAGTGTTCGTTTACAGTTCGCTTTATTTCGCCGTGAATGTTCGTCGAACTCTGGATTTGGGACAATTGTCCCTCTCCCTGCTTCATCCCCCCAGCTACCAGGTGCTCTCCTCCTGACCCTCCCCTCTCCCTAGGGTTTCTAACAAACTTAGTATACCACCTCCTTAGTGTAGAAATTCCGCGATACGGGATAGCTGGTAGCTGTGTTCTTGGGCCAGCCATGGCGTCGCTCCTAGCGGCTCCGCAAGCGCAAATGAGCAGCATATCGTTCGCTGCGTCGACGTCTCAGAATGTGAGCCTCTAGATGCTTCTGTAGCATCTATCACGAGACATCACTCTGTTGTTCGTTTCCCACTTGTTTGTCTTCAAAAATTCTTTCCAGAGATGTTGTTATCGCTTTTCGTTTATTCATTCAACCAAAAGCTCCTCCACGGATTCCTCTCGCTGGTCCCTGTCGCCTGGTCAGTCATTATCGCCTTTACTGCATTCCGTCTCCTCCAGGCCCTCTCGTCGTCTGCCTCCGTCTCTTTCCGGGGCACAACTATCGCCGCTCCCCGCCGAATCTCCGCCGCGGCGACTGCCTCCGCCGCCGTTGCGGTGCCCGCGCAGGCTTCCGCCGTTTCCGCCGCCGACGGCGCCGACGGCGCCGCTCAAGGTGAGGTGAGCGGCTGTGCTAGCATTTGATCCATTGGATTTTCCTGCATTGTTAACTGTTGGCCGAGAGCCGCTCAAGATTAGGCGAGCGGCTGTGCTAGCATCTGATCCATTGAATTCTTTTGCCTTGTCGGCTGTTCTAGCATCTGATCCGTTGAATTCGTGCAACCCTTCTTCTCCCTCTTCCACCCCTCTTCCGGCCATTTTCTTCCCCTTCCCCCTCCCACCCCACCCCCAACCTCCTCCCAACATCCTTTCCCTCCGAATTCCCGCAGGGGACGCCGGGGGAGGTGCAGGAGGGGGTGCAGCGGGCACTGGCGGCAGTGAAGCACGCGCCAGCAGGCACGCCGCTGTCGCTGCTGCAGCGGCATCAGCATCACCACCTTCCTCAGGCCTCTCAGTCATTCCCTCCTATTTCTCCATCCCTCCACCCAATCAATCCCTCTTTTGCGACCGCCCCCGGCCCTCCCCTCCTCCCCGGCCCTCCTCGTCCCCCTCCCTTTCCCCACCGACCTCCCGTTATAATTTCCCCTCGCAACCCGCGCAGGGGACGCCAGGGGAGGTGCAAGAGGGGGTGCAGCGGGCACTGGCGGCAGTGAAGCACGCGCCAGCAGGCACGCCGTTGTCGCTGCTGCAGCGGCAGCTTGCGTCCGTCCTCACGCCGTTCGCCGATAGACTGGATTCGCGCGCGTTGAGTAGCATCATGAAACAAGTGAGTGAATGAGAGAGGGATGTGATGTGCGTGTGAGTTAGGCTGGGCTGTGATTGCCGTAGAGAGGGATTCGCCAGCAGGCATGCCGCTGTCGCTGCTGCAGCGACAGCTGACGTCCGTCCTCACACCGTTCGCCGATAGACTCGACTCGCGTGCGTTGAGTAGCATCATGAAGCAAGCGAGTGAATGAGAGAGAGGGATGAGATGTGTATGGTCACGTGGTAGGCTGGAGTGGGATTGCATTTGGGAGGAATTTGCCAGCAGGCACGGCACTGTCGCTGCTGCAGCGTCAGCTGGCGTCCGTGCTCACGCCGTTTGCCGATAGGCTGGAATCGCGCGCGTTGAGCAGCATCATGAAGCAAGTGAGTGAGTGGGTGAGCGAGTGAGCGAGTGAGTAGCATGTGAGGTGAGGCTCACTTGGTAGGCTGGACTGGGATTGCCGTAGGGAGGGATATGCCAGCAGGCACGCCGCTGTCGCTGCTGCAGCAGCATTTGGCGTCACTACTCACGTCGTTCGCCGATGTGGAATGGACTCGCACCCTCTCAGCAAATCACGAATCAAGCAAGCAAGCGAGTGTGTGAGTGGGTGAGTGTGTCGTAAGGGTCAGTTGCTAAGCTCGACTCGGATTGTATCCATTCGCTGAGATCGTCTCCTCACAGTCGCACTGCTGCAGCGGCAGCTGGCTGGCCTCCTCCGTGAAAGGGTAGACGATTATGTGTTCACTTCCATTCAAACCGGAGGATTCACACAGTGCACGATCTGGTCAATTCCTCCTCCGTGCACTTGAACAAGCTCGTTTGAGAATTAATGGCCCAAACCGTGCTGCCTCCCCACCTCACCTCACCCTTCCATGCAATGGTGGGCACGATCTGGATTTCAGTCAGAATTGTGCACCCCTTGTTGCCCTCCCTTCCTCCTCTCCCCCTCCCCTCCCCTCCCCTTCCGTTCCATTTCCCCATGGATCTCCAATCTGCCAGCAAGAGGCGGACTGGCGTGTTGTGCTGGCGCTCTACGATTGGATGGCGGGGCAGGGCATTCCGCGCAGCATCCACGTGTACACGGTGGTGCTCTCGTGCCTGGGGCGGGCGGCACAGTGGAACCACCTGCTGTCCGTTTTGGACGATATGGCGAGACTAGGTGAGTGAGGTAACTGTATGTATAGCCTGTAAGTAGCAGAGAGCCCAGCCCATCCACGTGTACACGGTGGTGCTCTCGTACCTGGGGCGGGCGGGCGGCACAGTGGAACCACCTGCTGTCCGTGCTGGATGATATGGCGAGACTAGGTAAGTGGGGAGACAGAGCGGGGAGGTAGGGAAGAGAGGGGGTGACAGGGAGGTAGGGAAGAGAGGGGGTGACAGGGAGGTAGGGAGAAGCGGAGAGGGACGATTCTGTCCAGCATTCTCATTGGCATGTTGGGTGGTGGTGCGCTTAGGATGACTTTTGAGTCAACTCACTGACAATGCATGCAGCATCCATTTGTACCTGGTGGTGCTCTCATCTCATGCCTGGGCCGGATGTCCAAGCAGACTTTGTTGCCTGCGCCCTCCTCCCTTGCTGCCCTCTCTCTCCCCCAATAGGAGTACCCATGGACGAGTACGTACGTGTTCAACACGCTCATAGTCACCTCACCTGCTCCAATGCTGATTGGAATCTGTTGCCCTGTCATCAATGTTTTGTGTCCCCTGTGCTTTATTACCCGCCTCTCACGCCACTCCGTCTCTCCCCACAGGAGTCCCAGTGGACGAGTACGTACGTACGTACGTGTACAACACGCTCATAGTCGCCTATTCCAATGCTGCTTCCCATGCCTACTGTCCTGTTCTCCTCTCTTGCTCTCTCCCCGTTTCTTCCCCACAGGAGTCCCAATGGACGATTACGTGTACAACACGCTCATAGTCGCCTACTCCAATGCGGGTCGGTTCAACGACGCGTTGGGGTGGTTTGAGCGCATGGAGAAGGCAGGATGCATGCCCAACCAGGTGAGAAGGGGAGATGAGGAACGTGTTTCAAGAGAAAGGTCGTTTGTACCTCTTTCCTGTCCTGATCCTCAACGTTCCCTCTCCTCCGTGGTTGGAGCGCATGGAGGGGGCGGGGTTCATGCCCAACCATTCGAGGGAAGGGGGGAATGAGAAGGTGGCCTGTTGTATTGGAGTACTGTCTTCACGTGCGTCCCCTCTTCGCCGTGGTTTGTTCGAGCGCATGGAGAAGGCAGCGGGCAGGCATGCCCAACCAGGTGAGGAAGAGAGAAGAGAAGAACGTATTCTGTATATTTTCCTGTCTTTTTATATGTTGATCTTATTCCTCATGCCCCCCCTCAGGTCCTCTTTCCCACCTCAATTCCCACCTCATTTCCCACCTCACTTCCCCCACCCCCTTCCCCCATCCCCTTTCCCCATCCCCGTTCCTTCCCTATCCCCTCATCCCCTTTCTCCATCCCTTTTTCTCATCCGCTTCCCCCATCCCCTTTCTGTTCCTTCTCTCTCTCCCCTTATGCATGTAACAGGTAATCTACACGACAGTGATGAAGCTCTTTGCATGGGCTTGTAGGACGGATGCCATGCCACACATTGCTCAGACTAGCAGTCCCCCTTGTTTTCTCCCCACTCTCCCTCCCCTTATTCATCCATCAGGTCGTCTACACGACAGTGATGACGCTCTATGTCCAGGCAGAATCAGCGACTCCTGAAGCGTTTCGAATCCCTTCTTTGTCCCATCCGCTTCCCACATCCCCTTCCCCCATCAGGTCATTTACACGACAGTGATGAAGCTGTTTGCACGGGCGGGCAGGACTGATGGTGTGGCACGCATTGCCGCCCTGCTCAGGGAGGAGGGCAGCAGGGAGGACGGCCTTTTTCGGCTGGATTCTAAGACGATATGCGCGCTGATCGCTGCGTACAACAGCATGGGGGACTTGAAGTCGGCTCAGGAGGTATGTTCTGAAGCCAGCATGCCTGAAAGGGTTTGGCTGGACTTCAGGATAACATGCACGCCGATCTCTGATGGCTGATGGCTCATTGTTGTGTACAACAGCATGGGAGGCTTGACTTGATGTTTGTGTAGGAGGTATGTTAGCAAGTCGGCTTGTTGATTTTTTTTTTTCATTTTTTTTTTCAGGTTTTTTAGACGACCCTCGGTTCCCTTCCCATTCCCTCCCCATCCACTTTCCTTTCTATCTTCCCTCCCCCTTCCTCTCTCCCACACTTTATCCCCGTTTACCCCCTCCCCACCTTTTGGCCTCTCCCTATCCCCTCCTTTTACGTCGCCCTTCTCCCTTCTCCCTTGCCCGCCAACCCCTACCGTCCAGGTGTTTGAGCCAGCACGAGCAGGCACGCCCCCATACCCCTTGGTGGGGCAGCGAATGGACTGCAGCAGCAGCCGCTCTCCACCGCACAGAACCCATCCCTAGTCTCCCTCTCTCCTGCATGCCCATCCCCCCTGCATACCCGTCCCTCCCTAGGTGTTTGAGGCAGCACGAGCAGGCACGCCCCCAGGGGAACGCCATGGTGGCCGCATATGGGCTGCAGCAGCAGCAGCCGCCCCTCTCCACTGCACAAAACCCATCCCTTGTCTTCCTCTCTGCAGCATGCCCATCACCCCTGTATATCCCTACCTCCCCATGTGTTTGAGGCTGCGCGGGCAGGCACGCCCCCAGGCGAGTGGGACGTGGTGGTTTGGAATGCCATGGTAGGAAAGTGGTGGGGCTGTAGTGGCAGCTGCTCTCCACCGCACAGAACCCGTTTAAATCCATCCCCTGCTGCGTACATGTCCCTCCTGCTTGCCCTTCCTTCCTTCCACCATCCACAGGTGTTTGAGGCGACGAGAGCAGGCACGCTATGGTGGCCGCGTATGGGCTGCAGCAGCAGCAGCAGCCCCTCTCCACCGCACAGAACCCATGTCTCTTCTGCATGCCCATCCCTCCTGCATGCCTGTCTCTCATTCACAGGTGTTTGAGGCAGCGCGAGCAGGCACCCCCCCAGGCGAGTGGGACGTGGTAGTGTGGAACGCCATGGTGGCCGCGTATGGGCTGCAGCAGCTGCTCTCCACCGCACAGAACCCATTAATATCTCTCTCCTGCTGCGTACTCTCCCCTCCTGCATGTCCCTCGTCTACAGGTGTTTGAATTAGCGCGAGCAGGCACCCCCCCAGGCGAGTGGGACGTGGTGGTGTGGAACGCCATGGTGGCCGCGTATGGGCGGGCGGGCAAGGTGAGGCAGGCGGAGGAGCTATTGCTGCAGATGGAGGCACAGGCGGATGGGGGAGACGGAGCGGATGGGAGGGATGGGGGGGTGGATGCGGAGGGGGATGGGGCTGATAGCGCGGATTGGGGCAGTATAGAACCCGATTGGGGGAGTGTTGAGGTAGATGGGGGGAGCCTTGAAGCGGACGGGGTGGGTCAGGGCGTGGGACAAGCAGGCAGAGGCGATTCAGTGGGTAGGGTGCAAGAGCAAGGGCAAGGGGGTTCAGGGTCGATTATCCCATTGCCTCAAGATGTGGCCAGAGTGCAAGGGGGCACTGAGGCGTCTGAAAAGCATATGGGCAGTGTTGTTAACGGGGTAGATCGGGCAGCAGGGGAGTTGGTAGAACCAAAAATACTTGGTCAGGTTAGCAGCTCTGATGCAGCGGTAGCATCAGCAGCAGCCGCAGCATCAGACACAGGGGATGATGCGAACGATCTGGGTCGTGATGTTGCTGTATCAGCAGCTGTGGCGGCAAAAGAGCTTGTAGCAGCACCAGACACATCGATAGCAGAAACATCTGTAGCAGCAGAGCCATCAGAAGCAGAAGCAGGTGCAGCAGAGACACATACACCAGACGCGAGTGCACAAGGAACGTTCAGAGTATTCAATTCCCAATCCAACCCTGGGCATCTGGAACCCCAGCCTCGCCCATCCCCACTCCTCCAGCCTGCCCTTGCCTACTCCGAACCGGCTTTGGTGACTTCCGAGCCTCTGCCAGAGGTTCGGAGCGAGGCTTCTGGTGAGCTTTGGAGCGAGGCTCGAGAGGGGCTTATGGCAGCAACTGCAGCTGTGGCTGTAATATCCCCAGTTGCAAGGCTGGAAAAGCAAGGTAGTAACGATGACAGCGAATATTCTGGTGGTAACAACGACAGTAACGGTGTGGGGGATGGAGGTTTTGTGGCAGCAGGTGTAGATGGTGGTGGAACAGGGAATTCTGGGGGTAGACCGTCGGTTCCTCCTCCTCCTTCCCGGCCGACCCCTCCTCTCGTTGCAACGGTTTTGAGAAAGCCTACCCCGCTACCTTCCCCTGCTAGCAGCAGCATCAGCAGCCCTAGCAGCAGCAAGAATGACAGTCGTAACAGTAGCAGTAGCAGCACGGGCGATGACCGAATGAGCAGCAGCAGTAGCGGCAGCTCAGGTGAACCTTCAGGTGAAGTTTCAGGAGTAGGAGGAGGCGAAGAGATTAGCAGGGACGAGGAGGAGGAAGGGGAGGAGATTGATATGGAGGTGGAAAGGAGGGAAAATCTAAGGCGGGCGGGAGGGGGAAGGAGAGGGGGAAAGTCAGCCAGAGGCTACTCTAGCAGCACTGGAAGCACGAGCAGGACCAGCTGGGGGGATGAGAGAGAGGAGGCGAGACGAGGGAGAGGCGATGGTGGTGCGAGGAGAGGAAGGGAAACAATCGGAGCAGGAGGAGGAGGAAGGGGCGGATTGGAAGATGGCAGTCGGGAGCTGTCTCCCCCGCGGTTTGGGCCGACGCTGAATGCGTACAACTCACTCCTGAACGCGTATGCCAAGGCGGGGGACGTGGACAAGGCGGAAAAGACCTTCAAGGTAGGCTTGGGATTAGGTTCAACAGTTCAGGGCAGGCTGAGTGTGAGTCAGGGGCAGTCTGGGGCTGTCTCACCTGTGGTTTGGGCCGACACTGAATGCGTATAACTCGCTGCTAAACGCGTATGCCAAGGCGGGAGACGTGGACAAGGCAGAGAAGACGTTCAAGGTAGGCTTGAGATTGGGTTCGGGCAATCGCCGCTCTCCCCCTCCGTTTGGGCGAACGCTGAATGAATGCGTACAACGCGCTGCTGGATGTGGACAAGGCAGAGAAGACCTCCAAGGTAGGAGGGAAAAGGTACTGAGTCAAGGGATTGTCACTCTGGTAAAGGCCGTGAGCTGTCTCCCCCGCGGTTTGGGCCGACTATGAATGCGTACAACGCGCTGCTGGATGTGGACAAGGCAGAGAAGACCTTCAAGGTAGGCTTGAGGCAAGGTTTGGGGTAAGGTAGGGTGAAGAGGGGAGGTAGATACTGAGGGGAGGTAGATATAGAAAAGGGCGACACTGAACTGAACTGAATGCACGGCAAACAACTGCTGCACTCCCGCTCGCTCTGCGTGCTTCTCTCCCCCTCTCCCCGACCTCTCAACCCCTCCCTCCGCACATCTCAACAGCGTCTCATGGCTCGGGGCTTCTACCCGTCAACCATCACCTTTCCACGCCCCATTCTCTCTTGCTGCCGTGCTCACCCTTTCCATCCTTTCTCCCCCTCCCCCCCACCCCCCCTCCCCCCTAGCGTCTCATGTCTCGGGGATTCTAACCCGTCAACCGTGATTTTCAACACGCTCTTCTCGCTCTATGCCTCTCTCTTTGCTACCTGCCCCCCCTCATTCCCTCTGTTCTCGTCTCCCTCAACAGCGACTCATGGCCCGCGGATATTACCCCTCAACCGTGACCTTCAACACGCTCTTCTCGCTCTATGCCTCGCTGCCCTCCCTCCTCCCTGATCGACACCTCCTCACTCCCTCCTTCCCTACCCATTCCCGCCTCCCCTGCCCCCCACCTACAGCGTCTCATGGCACGGGGATTCTACCCCTCAACCGTCACTTTCAACACGCTCTTCTCGCTCTACGCCTCGCTGCCCTCCTCCGCCTCCTCGCTCGCTGCTGCCCGCCGCCTGCACGCCCTCATGCTGCACATGGACGTCCCTCTCGACGTCTACTCCTGCTGCTCTCTCATTGGCCTGCTCAGCCGCTCCGGGCAGGTTGAAGAAGCCGTTGGGCTGTTTGAAAGAATGAAAGCGCAGGGCGTGCAGGTGTGTGTGTGTGGGTGGGGGGGGCGCCTGGGTGGGTAGATTTGCCGGTGTGTGTGCGCGTGCGTGCTGTTTTGATTCTTTCGGCGCCTCAAAAGCTGTTTCAAGTGGCATTTTTTTCACGTGATGATCCCTGCATTTGCTCGCCTTCGCAAGCGACCAAAGCCCTCTTCCCAGTCTCCTCTTCCCCTCCACGCACCCCCTCCCCACCCCTCCTTCCCCTCAAACCAGCCGGACTTGCACGTCTTCAGTGCAATGATCGCCATGTTCGCTCGCCATGGAAAGTTGCAGCTGGCGCTGAGAACCAATGCTCGAAATTCTCCCCCCACCCCAAGGCTCAACCAACCATCCTCCTCTCCAATCTCTCCCCTCCCCGTCCCTCCCCCCACCCCTACCAGCCGGACTCACATGTCTTCAGTGCAATGATCGCCATGTTTGCTCGCCACGGCAAGCTGAAGTCGCCACGTTTCCCCGCCAACCACATCCTCCCCTTCCCCCCCACCCCCCCCCTACCCCCCCCCCCTACCAGCCGGACTCGCACGTCTTCAGTGCAATGATCGCCATGTTCGCTCGGCACGGCAAGCTGAAGTCGCCACGTTTCCCCACCAACCACATCCTCCCCTTCCCCCCCACCCCCCCCCCTACCCCCCCCCCTACCAGCCGGACTCACATGTCTTCAGTGCAATGATCGCCATGTTTGCTCGGCACGGCAAGCTGAAGTCGCCACGTTTCCCCGCCAACCACATCCTCCCCTTCCCCCCCAACCCCCCCCCCTACCAGCCGGACTCGCACGTCTTCAGTGCAATGATCGCCATGTTCGCTCGGCATGGCAAGTTGGAGTTGGCGCTGAGAACCAATGCTCAACCAATCCTTTCCCCTGCCAAGTCCCACCCCTTTTCCCCGGACCCTCTCTTTCCTCCCTACCCCCCCGTACCCCCCCCTACCAGCCGGACTCGCATGTCTTCAGTGCGATGATCGCCATGTTCGCCCGCCATGGCAAGCTCGAGTTTTAAGGTGCAACCAGCCCTAATTCCTCCCTTTCCTCAACCCACACCACCCACACCAGCCGGACTCGCACGTCTTCAGTGCAATGATCGCCATGTTCGCCCGCCATGGCAAGTTGGAGTTGGCGCTGAGAACCTTCCAGGAGATGAAGGCGGCGGGGTGTGCAGTGGACATGCCCGTGCTGACGTCCATGATCGGCGTTTACCACCGCCTGGGGTTGCTGGAAGAGGCGTCTGCAGCAGCAATGGATGCTATAGTGAGTGTTTTCGCTTGGAAATAAAGGCTTCTCTGGGAAGATGAAATGAGGTGTGCAGTGGACATGCCAGTGCTGACGTCCATGATCGGCGTGTATCACCGCCTGGGGCTATTGGAAGAAGCATCGGCTGCAGCAATGGATGCTATTGTGAGTGGTGGGCTGGGCTGGTTGGGAGTGAAGGCTGGTGTACCGCTCAGACCCAGGGCAGCGGCCAATTAGACGCTGTGATCGCCAGTGCCATCATCTCCCTCTTCTCATCCTCTCTCCATTTCATTCCGCACTTCCCCATTCTCTTCTGTCTGTGTCTCCATATCTCTTTCTTTCTCCCCCCTCTCAGACTCAGGGCAGCGGCCATTTAGACCCTGTAATCGCCAGCGCCATCATCTCCCTCTTTTCCAAATAAGGCCATCTTGGGACGCTGTGAGAATTTTCTTTCTCAACCCCCCACCCCTCCTCTTCCCTCTCCCTTTCCCTCTCCCCCCAGACTCAGGGCAGCGGGCATTTAGACCCGGTAATCGCCAGTGCCATCATCTCCCTCTTCTCCAAACAAGGCCGGCTTGGGGACGCTGTGAGAATCTTTCGGGCTGCCCGGGGCATGGGCAGCCGGCAGATCCAGCCGGGCAGCATCGGCGAAAATAGTGTGAGCAGCTGGAGTAGGAACAACAGTATCTGGAGCAGAAGCGCCAGCAGCGGTAGCAGCAGCAGTGGCAGTAGCAGCGACAGCGAGAGCAGCAGCAGTGGCACCGGCGACAGAAGGATTTCGCCAGTAGCAGAAGTTTTTGAGAATTCTAAAAAACCAGCCAGTGGCACCGGCGACAGAAGGATTTCGCCAGTAGCAGAAGTCGAGTCAGAAGAAGCAGCAGGAGCAGTCGTGGGAACTGAAGGAGTAGCAGCAGCAGCGGCGGCTGCATCAGCAGCAGAAGCAGCATCCGAAGCACCAGCAGCACCAGGATCAGCAGCAGCAGGGACAGCAGCAGGAGCAGTGGCGGCGGCAGGAGCAGTGGCAAGAGCAGCAGGGCAAGCAGCGGGGGCAGCGGCAGGAGCAGCAGGGCCCAGTTCGCCCAAGAGGCGGCACAGGGGGAGGGGGAGGGGGAGGAGGCGAGGGGGGCGAGTGGATGCGGTGCTGCTGAGCACGATGATGGACGCTTATAGCAAGGCAGGGCAACTGGACGCCGCGGAAGCACTCTTTGCTGAGATCCTGGTGAGTGGGTGCAGAGAGATGGGGTGTGGTTGGTTTGGTGTAGCATTTTGTTCCTCAGTGGATGCAGTGCTGCTGAGCACGATGATGGACGCGTACAGCAAGCAAGGCAGGGCGGGGCAGCTAGACGCCGCGGAAGCGCTCTTTGCTGAGATCCTGGTGAGTGGTTGGGAGGGAGGGAGTGGGTGGATACAGGTGGGTGGGTACAGTGCGATTGAGGAAGGTACGGACATACCACCTCGTTCTGAGTGGATGCAGTGCTACTACTGTTGCTGTCAGTGCTGCTGAGCACGATGATGGACGCTTATAGCAAGGCAGGCCAGTTGGACGCTGCTGGAGCACTGTTGACTGAGATCCTGGTGAGTAGTGGGTGGTGGGAGGGTATAGTGTAGCACCTCGTTCTGAGTAAATCAAGTACATGCGGTGCTGCTGGTGCTGGTGCTGCTGAGCTCGATGATGGATGCATATAGCAAGGCAGGCCAGTTGGACGCTGCTGGAGCGCTCTTTTCTGAGATCCTGGTGAGGTGACTTTTGAGTCGACTCAAAAGGAGCACTGTTCGCTGAGATCCTGGTGAGTGGGTGCGGTAAACTTACCTCTCCCTCTTCCGGTATCACTTGTCCATTTACCACTCACCACTCACCACACCCATTCCCCCAGGCGGATGAGTCGGGCAGTATAGCGGACTTGGCTGCACACACCACAATGATCATCGTGTATGGAACCTTTACCCCGTCCAACGCTTGTCCCCGTCCATTTCTTTTCTTTTCTTCTCCGTCCTTCCCCCACCCAACGCTTGTCCCCGCCTTCCATCCCCCATAATCCAGGCGGATGAGTCAGGGAGCATAGGGGACCTGGCAGCACACACCACAATGATCATCGTGTATGGGAAGCACAGCGGGCTTGCTTTAGGTAGCTGACCTGGCATCCCACACCACGATGATCATCGTGTATGGAACCTTTACCCCCTTTCTTTCTTTCTTTCTTTCTCCCTCCTTCCCCTACCCAACGCTTGTCCCCGCCTCCCATCCCCCTTTTCCAGGCGGATGAGTCAGGGAGTATAGAGGACCTGGCAGCACACACCACGGTGATCAGCGTGTATGGGAAGCACAGCGGGCTTGCTTTAGGTAGCAACTTTCACCCCATTCTCCCCCTCCTTCCTCTCCCACCTTTCCTCTTCTGTCCTTCCCCCACTCAACTCGTCTCCCCGTCTTCCATCCCCCTTCTCCAGGCGGATGAGTGGGGCAGTTTAGCAGACCTGGCAGCACACACCATCATGATCAGCGTGTATGGGAAGCACAAGGAGTATAGCGTCTATAACTCTACTCTCCCCTCCCCCTCTCCACTCCCCCTCTCCCTCCCCCCTCTCCCCAACCCCCATACACACGTCCCTCCAGGCGGATGAGTCGGGCAGCATTGCGGACCTGGCAGCACACACCACGATGATCAGCGTGTATGGGAAGCATGGGCTGGTGGATAAGGCGAAGGTGAGAGTAAGGATGAAGAGGGGGAAGAGGACCGAGAAGGAGATACATGTTGGGGTTGATTTTTTAGTCGACTCAAAAATCGACTCATCCCACGAGAGGGGTAGGGAGGGATGAAGGTCGTACCTTACCAGGTTATTTTTGAGACGTCTCAAAAATAACCTCTCTACAAAGGCCGTACCAGCAAGGATGAAAAATACGGTTACCGTATTAAACGGTTCGTTTAAAACGGTTGTATTATACGGCAGTTTTTGGTAAAAAACTGCGTTTTTTTGATAGACTTTTTTTTTGCATTATTTTATTTTTTCAATGCTGAAATGCCTGAACTGCCTACTACATGCTAATGCTGGAAATAGAGCTAGCTACTTGTACACCACTACTACTCTACTACTACACAACATCACCCCTCTCCCTCTTTGAGCTATCCACTACAACTTACACTTACCCACTACTTCTCACCTCCGTTGCCTCTCTCTCTCCTACGTTGAACATCACCCCCCTCCTCTACTCATCATCCTCCTCCTCCTCCTCCTCCTCCTCCTCCTCCTCCTCCTCCTCCTCCTCCTCCTCCTCCTCCTCCTCCTCCTCCTCCTCCACCTCCTCCTCCTCCTCCTCCTCCTCCTCCTCCTCCTCCTCCTCCTCCTCCTCCTCCTCCTCTTCCTCCGTTGGGGAAAAATGTGAAATTCGATAAACACTGTCTCGCTTTCAAAATTTCGGTCGTTTAAAACGACCGTATTTTTAAACTTAATAATAAAACACATTTTTACCGTATTTAACCGTATAATACGACCGTTTAAAACGATTCCGTATAATACGGTAAAAAATCAATAATTCGGTCGTTTTTTTTATCCTTGCGTACCAGGTTATTTTTGAGACGTCTCAAAAATAACCTCTCTACAAAGGCCGTACCAGGTTATTTTTGAGACGTCTCAAAAATAACCTCTCTACAAAGGCCGTACCAGGTTATTTTTGAGACGTCTCAAAAATAACCTCTCTACAAAGGCCGTACCAGGTTATTTTTGAGACGTCTCAAAAATAACCTCTCTACAAAGGCCGTACCAGGTTATTTTTGAGACGTCTCAAAAATAACCTCTCTGCAAAGGCCGTACCAGGTTATTTTTGAGACGTCTAAAAAATAACCTCTCTGCAAAGGCCGTACCAGGTTATTTTTGAGACGTCTCAAAAATAACCTCTCTACAAAGGCCGTACCAGGTTATTTTTGAGACGTCTCAAAAATAACCTCTCTACAAAGGCCGTACCAGGTTATTTTTGAGACGTCTCAAAAATAACCTCTCTACAAAGGCCGTACCAGGTTATTTTTGAGACGTCTCAAAAATAACCTCTCTACAAAGGCCGTACCAGGTTATTTTTGAGACGTCTCAAAAATAACCTCTACAAAGGCCGTACCAGGTTATTTTTGAGACGTCTCAAAAATAACCTCTCTACAAAGGCCGTACCAGGTTATTTTTGAGACGTCTCAAAAATAACCTCTCTACAAAGGCCGTACCAGGTTATTTTTGAGACGTCTCAAAAATAACCTCTCTACAAAGGCCGTACCAGGTTATTTTTGAGACGTCTCAAAAATAACCTCTCTACAAAGGCCGTACCAGGTTATTTTTGAGACGTCTCAAAAATAACCTCTCTACAAAGGCCGTACCAGGTTATTTTTGAGACGTCTCAAAAATAACCTCTCTACAAAGGCCGTACCAGGTTATTTTTGAGACGTCTCAAAAATAACCTCTCTACAAAGGCCGTACCAGGTTATTTTTGAGACGTCTCAAAAATAACCTCTCTACAAAGGCCGTACCAGGTTATTTTTGAGACGTCTCAAAAATAACCTCTCTACAAAGGCCGTACCAGGTTATTTTTGAGACGTCTCAAAAATAACCTCTCTACAAAGGCCGTACCAGGTTATTTTTGAGACGTCTCAAAAATAACCTCTCTGCAAAGGCCGTACCAGGTTATTTTTGAGACGTCTAAAAAATAACCTCTCTACAAAGGCCGTACCAGGTTATTTTTGAGACGTCTCAAAAATAACCTCTCTACAAAGGCCGCACCAGGTTATTTTTGAGACGTCTTAAAAATAACCTCTCTACAAAGGCCGTACCAGGTTATTTTTGAGACGTCTCAAAAATAACCTCTCTACAAAGGCCGTACCAGGTTATTTTTTAGACGTCTCAAAAATAACCTCTCTACAAAGGCCGTACCAGGTTATTTTTGAGACGTCTCAAAAATAACCTCTCTACAAAGGCCGTACCAGGTTATTTTTGAGACGTCTCAAAAATAACCTCTCTACAAAGGCCGTACCAGGTTATTTTTGAGACGTCTCAAAAATAACCTCTCTACAAAGGCCGTACCAGGTTATTTTTGAGACGTCTCAAAAATAACCTCTCTACAAAGGCCGTACCAGGTTATTTTTGAGACGTCTCAAAAATAACCTCTACAAAGGCCGTACCAGGTTATTTTTGAGACGTCTCAAAAATAACCTCTCTACAAAGGCCGTACCAGGTTATTTTTGAGACGTCTCAAAAATAACCTCTCTACAAAGGCCGTACCAGGTTATTTTTGAGACGTCTCAAAAATAACCTCTCTACAAAGGCCGTACCAGGTTATTTTTGAGACGTCTCAAAAATAACCTCTCTACAAAGGCCGTACCAGGTTATTTTTGAGACGTCTCAAAAATGACCTCTCTACAAAGGCCGTACCAGGTTATTTTTGAGACGTCTCAAAAATAACCTCTCTGCAAAGGCCGTACCAGGTTATTTTTGAGACGTCTCAAAAATAACCTCTCTACAAAGGCCGTACCAGGTTATTTTTGAGACGTCTCAAAAATAACCTCTCTACAAAGGCCGTACCAGGTTATTTTTGAGACGTCTCAAAAATAACCTCTCTACAAAGGCCGTACCAGGTTATTTTTGAGACGTCTCAAAAATAACCTCTCTACAAAGGCCGTACCAGGTTATTTTTGAGACGTCTCAAAAATAACCTCTCTACAAAGGCCGTACCAGGTTATTTTTGAGACGTCTCAAAAATAACCTCTCTACAAAGGCCGTACCAGGTTATTTTTGAGACGTCTCAAAAATAACCTCTACAAAGGCCGTACCAGGTTATTTTTGAGACGTCTCAAAAATAACCTCTCTACAAAGGCCGTACCAGGTTATTTTTGAGACGTCTCAAAAATAACCTCTCTACAAAGGCCGTACCAGGTTATTTTTGAGACGTCTCAAAAATAACCTCTCTACAAAGGCCGTACCAGGTTATTTTTGAGACGTCTCAAAAATAACCTCTCTGCAAAGGCCGTACCAGGTTATTTTTGAGACGTCTAAAAAATAACCTCTCTACAAAGGCCGTACCAGGTTATTTTTGAGACGTCTCAAAAATAACCTCTCTACAAAGGCCGTACCAGGTTATTTTTGAGACGTCTTAAAAATAACCTCTCTACAAAGGCCGTACCAGGTTATTTTTGAGACGTCTCAAAAATAACCTCTCTACAAAGGCCGTACCAGGTTATTTTTTAGACGTCTCAAAAATAACCTCTCTACAAAGGCCGTACCAGGTTATTTTTGAGACGTCTCAAAAATAACCTCTCTACAAAGGCCGTACCAGGTTATTTTTGAGACGTCTCAAAAATAACCTCTCTACAAAGGCCGTACCAGGTTATTTTTGAGACGTCTCAAAAATAACCTCTCTACAAAGGCCGTACCAGGTTATTTTTGAGACGTCTCAAAAATAACCTCTCTACAAAGGCCGTACCAGGTTATTTTTGAGACGTCTCAAAAATAACCTCTACAAAGGCCGTACCAGGTTATTTTTGAGACGTCTCAAAAATAACCTCTCTACAAAGGCCGTACCAGGTTATTTTTGAGACGTCTCAAAAATAACCTCTCTACAAAGGCCGTACCAGGTTATTTTTGAGACGTCTCAAAAATAACCTCTCTACAAAGGCCGTACCAGGTTATTTTTGAGACGTCTCAAAAATAACCTCTCTACAAAGGCCGTACCAGGTTATTTTTGAGACGTCTCAAAAATGACCTCTCTACAAAGGCCGTACCAGGTTATTTTTGAGACGTCTCAAAAATAACCTCTCTGCAAAGGCCGTACCAGGTTATTTTTGAGACGTCTCAAAAATAACCTCTCTACAAAGGCCGTACCAGGTTATTTTTGAGACGTCTCAAAAATAACCTCTCTACAAAGGCCGTACCAGGTTATTTTTGAGACGTCTCAAAAATAACCTCTCTACAAAGGCCGTACCAGGTTATTTTTGAGACGTCTCAAAAATAACCTCTCTACAAAGGCCGTACCAGGTTATTTTTGAGACGTCTCAAAAATAACCTCTCTACAAAGGCCGTACCAGGTTATTTTTGAGACGTCTCAAAAATAACCTCTCTACAAAGGCCGTACCAGGTTATTTTTGAGACGTCTCAAAAGTAACCTCTCTACAAAGGCCGTACCAGGTTATTTTTGAGACGTCTCAAAAATAACCTCTCTACAAAGGCCGTACCAGGTTATTTTTGAGACGTCTCAAAAATAACCTCTCTACAAAGGCCGTACCAGGTTATTTTTGAGACGTCTCAAAAATAACCTCTCTACAAAGGCCGTACCAGGTTATTTTTGAGACGTCTCAAAAATAACCTCTCTGCAAAGGCCGTACCAGGTTATTTTTGAGACGTCTAAAAAATAACCTCTCTACAAAGGCCGTACCAGGTTATTTTTGAGACGTCTCAAAAATAACCTCTCTACAAAGGCCGTACCAGGTTATTTTTGAGACGTCTTAAAAATAACCTCTCTACAAAGGCCGTACCAGGTTATTTTTGAGACGTCTCAAAAATAACCTCTCTACAAAGGCCGTACCAGGTTATTTTTTAGACGTCTCAAAAATAACCTCTCTACAAAGGCCGTACCAGGTTATTTTTGAGACGTCTCAAAAATAACCTCTCTACAAAGGCCGTACCAGGTTATTTTTGAGACGTCTCAAAAATAACCTCTCTACAAAGGCCGTACCA